ATTTGCATTCTTTTTGCACCCAGGACAAACTTGCTCTTCTCATTCTGCTTCCCATGCCGTCTGTGGAGCAGTCCCTGCTCTTGAGGCCACGGCAGGGTTGCCATGGAAGTCGCTGTTGCAGGAATTTCTCCTGCCTTGTAATTCAGGGAGCGACCCCCACTCCCGTGACTGGGGCCCCCACAACCTGAGCTACCCAGAGTGGAGCTGGCTGCCATCAGCTGTCTCATTCGGGAGACCGCTCCTCCCTCAGTGACCCGGTGGTCACCTCATGGGGGGGCTCCATAATCCTATTGTATGTTTATTGAAAATACGATATACAGGAAGAGGCAGAGAGAGTCTGTGGGTTCTCTCCCCAAGTGGCCACAACAGCTGAGCTGAGCTCAGTAGAACTGAAGGCAGGAGCCAGGAGCTCGTCCAGGTCTCCCACCCAGTCACAGGGTCCCAAGGCTTTGGGCCGTCCTCCACTGCTTTCCCAGGCCACAGGCAGGGAGCTGGGTGGGAAGTGGAGCAGCCAGGACACGAACCTGCGTCCTTCGGGGTTTTGGCGCCTGTAGGTTGAGGCTTTAGCCACTGAGCCAGAGCGCCCGCCTTCGTACCTCAGAGTGACAGCTGGGCCAGCCAGCCAGGATCAGCCAGAGGCGGGGATCTCAGCCCAGACTGGCACCTCGCTCAGCCATTCAGGGTCCGCCGTAGGGCTATGCGAGGGCGGCTTCTCTACTCAGACTGGCACCTGGCTCATCCAATCAGTGTCCGCCAGGGGCGGGAGAAGGCGGTGTCTATAGGCAGACTGGCATGTCGCTCATCCACTCAGAGTTGCTCAAAGGCGGAGACGAGGGCTGGGTCCACAACGCAGATTGGCACGTTCTTCATCCATTTAGAGTCAGGCACGGCGGGCACGAGGGCGGGACTCTCAGTACAGACCGTCACCCAGTCTGTCACCAACAGGTGGATGGAACGAGAGGGTTCTCAACGGAGACTGGCACTTCTTTCATCCAGCCAGGGTCAGACGCGGAGAGTGCGGGCCAGGGGAGGGGCCCGGCTTCTCCGGACGGAGTGGCATCCGGGTCCCCCAATCAGAGCGAGGCAGGGCGAGCTAGAGGGCGTGTCTCTCCAAGCAAACTGGCAGCTTCTTCATCCTTTCAAAAGCAGCGAGGGGCGGCAGCCTCTACCTAGACTGGCACCTCGCTGGCCCTATCAGAGGCACTGGCGGGCGGCCGGGCAGGCGAGGTCCTCAGCGCAGACTGGCACCTGGCTCATCCAGTCAGGGAGAGCCAGGGGCTGTCTGGGCACATGTGGGCGGGGCCTAGGAAACACCTGGGGACTGGGCGTTTCTCTCTGGTGGTTTTTGTTCCCCGAGGTGTGTCATGACCCCGGTGCTGTGGCTACAGCCCAGGAGGAAACTCCATGGGCAGGTGCTCTACACCGAGAGAAACTGGCCTTAAAGTGAGTGCGCACCATGGCGCGGGATGAGTACACACACACCCGACGTGACACCCCCCAAACCCACGTGGCTGTCAGACGCCATAGCTCCTGGCCAGCACCAGCAGCTGGGCGCACTTGTCCTCTGTTTTCGGGCCAGGATATCCGGGGCGGCCTCCACGAGAGGATCCCTAAATAAAACCCCCAATGTGTCGGGCCCCTCTCCCTCTCTGCTGCATGTGCAAACGGATGCTCAACGCATTTGCTACACTTCCCTTCAAAAACTGGGCTGCAGACTAGCCAACATCACTCATTTCAGCAGCCACCAACCCTTCTGGCAGCAGCTTCAAATCAGCACCAGGTGGCGCCTTGGGCGAAGCCTTGGCCTGCGGGAGAGCCTGCCTGTGGGCGCTGGCTCTTCCATCCCACCCAGCTCCCTGTTGTGGCCTGGGACAGCAGTAGAGGATGGCCTGAAATGTAAGGACCCTGCAGCCGCGTGTGAGACCAGGAAGAAACCCCTGGCTGCCGGCTTCAGATGACCAGGCTCTGGCTCTTGCTGTCCCTTGGGGAGTGAAGCAGTAGATGGGAGATCTCTGTCTCTGCCCCCCCTCTCTCCTCCCTCTCTCTGTCTCCGCTTATGAGTAAAGAATATTTAACATGATGATATTTCTATCATCGGGCACATTTAGCCATCATTTTCTTTTTGAAAGATACTGCATTAGCATTTATTTTGATGTTTGACTTTTTTTAAAGGTTGGCTTACTTGGATAGTCAGAACAAAGGCGAGAGAGAGACCCAAAGAGAAAGAGAGCTTCCCTCTGCTGGCTTGCTCCCCACCTGATCACAACAGGCGGGTTGGGCTTGGCCCAAGCCAGTAGCTAGGAGCTTCTTTTGGGTCTTCTATGTGGCTGCAGGGGCCCAAGGACTTGGCTCATCTTCGGCTGCTTTCCCAGGCCATGAGCAGGCAGCGGGATGGGAAATGGAACAGCCTGCCTCTACCAGCATGTGATAGGAAGCCTGTGTCACCAGCCAGGCATAGTTTGACCGGTCACACGGCATACCTAAGGACAGATATTGACTGCCCAGCCCCTACTGCTGCCCTGGAGCAGGCACACGCAGGTTGGCCTGCACTCACATGCCCCTGCAAACAAACCTTTACAGGAGCCAACCCACCCCTCCTTCAGGAATGGGAAGCGCTCACGCTGTCTGTACCGCATCCAGGATGTCTCCCACAGTGACCTCACACCCAGGACATAGAGAGACACACTCTCTGGCCACAGGCCTGGAGCTTCCTGCTGGTGGACACGGATCACGTGAGGTTCTGGGAGGGTTGCCATAGCCATCCTCCAGGAACCAGCAATAGCACGGCCAGATTGTGGGTCCCTCACCTACATGGGCTGCTGTTAGTCAAGCTGGAATGTTGGATTATAGGCTGGTGGTGTCGAGGCAGAGCATGTCCCCATGTCCCCGCTGAGAGATGGGCAGATGAGGACGCCTTCCATATAGAGTGTCATCTGTGAGATCTGAACATTTGAGCTTGCTGTGGTGATGGGTTTAAACAGAGGAGCACACAGGCTTGTACAAACGGGATTTCTGATCATTTTCCTTGTCTTAGACCTGAAGCAAAGGATCATGAATCTAAAATTTACAAATTAATCAAACTTTTTATGTAGTTGTAGCTGACTGAATGTGTGTGATCTCTGTATTTTCACCTTTCAAGCAGGTATAAACCTTGCAAAATTAAGAAAAGAGAAAAAGTGTCTCGAAACAATTAAGCTTCAAATTTAAGGACAGAAATATTGGATATTGTACTTTAGGCAAGATGAAGAGAAAATGAGGAAAAACACAGAGCAGCAGTATAAATTTTAGGAACTCAATAGAAAACAGAAACTAAGCCAGAAGTTTCTTTGAAAACACTAGCCAAATTCAGAAACTTTCAGCAGAACCATGCAAGACAAAACAAAACAGAGCGAACATAAAGAACAAACATCTGTAAAACTGGAGCATACAGCAGTACCGATTCTTCAGATGACAATTACATAAAACGGAACATAAAGGGAAGTTACTCAAAATTTGTATTTTAGGGCCCAGTAAGGCAGTCTAGTGGTTGAAGTCTTCAACTTGCTTGCACTAGGATCCCGCATTGGCACTGGTTTGTATCCCGGTGGCCCCACTTCCCATCCAGCTCCCTGCCTGTGGCCTGGGAAAGCAGTCAAGGATGACCTGAGGACTTGGGATCCTGCACCACCATGGGAGCCCCCGAGGAAGCTCCTGGCTCCAGATTGGCTCAGCTCTGGCCTTTGCAGCCACTTGGGGGAGTGAACCGGCAGACAGAAGATCTTTCTCTCTGTGTTTCCTTTTCTCTGTATATCTGCTGCAGGATGGGAAGCAGGGCTGCTGTGATACAAATCGATGCCGATACAAGATCCTGGTGCTCGCAAGGTGAGGACTCTAGCCAGTAGGCTACCTTGCCCGACCCAGACAATTCTTTTCTAAAAACTGTATTGTAAATAAAATTGGAAACTTTATCAGTAACACAAAGAGATACATAACATTTATCCTTTTTATCTATAAAAAGGATTAAATTCACTAAAAGAATGAAAGCAGAGTGAAAAGCCAAAAAAGGTTAAAGAAAAAACCTGTTCTCCAGGAAATCCAAGGCACTCCTGGCTTCACTGTGAAATTGTAGTAATCATTGATGGTAGAGATGGTGTCAGGTCTCTAAAACTCTTCGAGGCAGCTGAAGAGCACACTGTCCAGAGAAATTTTCACCACCAGGATTATCTGCTACCAAAACCCGCTAAAATGGTTTTGGAAATATCGTTAGTGACCACCGTGACGCACCAACAGACACAAAATCTGTCAACGAGGTTGGCTGGCATTGTGACACAGTGGGTGAAGCCCTCAACTACGATGCTGGCATCCCATGGTGAGTGCCAGTAGGTCTAGGCTGTACTGCTTCTCATCCTGGCCCCTGCTATCGCACCGGGAGAGACATGGGAAATGGCTGAATTGCTTGGACCCCTGCCAGCGATGTGGGAGACCAGGCTAGAACTCCTGGCTCCTGCTTCTGCCTGGCCCTGCCCGGGCCATTGTAGCCATTTGAAGTGTGCAGCAGTGGATGGAAAATTTTTCTGTCTTTCCCCACCTCTTTTTGTGCCTTCCAAATAAATAAATGGTAAAAGTTGTGTAGAGAAATCTCACTTTCAAACTTTAAAATGCACATTTTAAATCAGTCAAATCAGATATACCTCACGGCATGAAAATAAATGCTCCCATGTTTTTATTTATTTAGTAAAAGAACATGAGCCAAGCTAAGGATGAAAAACACGTAACTCTTTTAACATACTAGCAACGATCAATGGAAAATTGAAATTGAAACAATATCTGTTACTACAGCATAACGACCTCATGAGCAGGAGGTGCTAGGTCTGAGTCCTGGGGGCAGAGGGTCTAGCGGGACTCAGGGCATCTGGGCCGGGTCCTTGGGCCCACCTGCGTGGCGGGTGCAGCTGCACTAAAAATATTTGGCAACGAGTATGCAGCAGTGGGCTGAGGGTTGAGAAACACTTGTGTGATAGTTAGTAACCTTCTGCGTGTCCATCGGGTGGGTCATGGCAAGCAGAAGACGGCACTGAGGCTGCACGAGACGTGCCAGGGTCAGATGTCTCATTCATGCCTGCATCCTCACAGAAGTTCAGACTCATTTTCCTCACGACGGCGTCTTTCATGAAGTCATCACCTTTGGGATTGCTCAGGTCGGGGGAGCTGACGTGGGGGAGCTGCCGCTGTATTTCTTCACACTTTCCCAGAGTCTCCCGAAGCAGCCGCAGGTTGCCCCGCTGGCTCCGCTCCTGGGCCTCAGCCAGCAGGCAGCTCAGCTTGGTGGTCAGCTCTGACAGGCGCTCGGCTTCCACCTGTGCCTGCCCTATCTTACATCTGTATTGGTCTTTCATGTGTCTCTCCAGGTCTTTCTGCTCTTGGTACAAATAGTAAGTCAGCTGCCCAAACTCTGAGGACACATGTGCCACCTGTGCATTCATCTGGCTCATACCCTCCATCAAGCGACTCTCCTCCCTGGCCTTGAGGTTCTGCACAGCCTCCAGGTGCCTCCTAAGGGGTTCCAGCTGCTCCTGCAATTGGGCCTTGTATGCCTGCACCACCTGCCCCAGTGGCACCACACTGTGCTTTCTGTGGCCCCGGGATGCGCGGCACACCACACAGATGGCCTCTTCATCTACGGTGCAGAAGAGCTTCAGGGCTTCCTGGTGCTTAGGACACATGTTCTCATTTACAGGCCCCCCATGCTCAGAGGTTGGCTGCATCTGCCGAATCACCTGCACCATGTTGGCGAGCTCCACGTTGGGGCGGAAGCCTGACTGACAAAATCCCTTTCGGCACTGAGGGCAGGTGAACAGCCTCCAAGGCACTTCAGGGGGAAGCACAGGGTTAACAGGCTGCAGTTCCTCTTCCTCATGCTCTTCTAGAACATTCTCTTCATCCTCGCCCATAAGCTCTTCCTGTGTATCTGCCACGTCCAGGACTTCCTCTTCCCTGTCCTGCTCCTCCTCCTCCTGCTCTTCCTCCTCCCTGTCCTGCTCCTCCTCTTCCTCCTCCTCTTCTTCCTCCTCCCCTTCCTCCTCCTCCCACATGTAATCTGTGTTGTCCCAGCTGGAATCTGGGATCTCACCGGCCTCCTCCAAGTCACCCTCAAATTGTTCCCCTAAATTGGAGGCGTCCGACCCTTCAATGCTTTCCACAGCCTCCTCCTCAGCCAATCCGATCGCATTCCACTCTTCCTGCTTCCTACTCCACAACTGAGTTATACATTCTCGGCAGAAGTTGTGCCCACAGCGGATGGACACAGGGTCTGTGAAGTAATCGAGGCAGATGGAGCACACAGCCTCCTCTTGAAGTGTCTGCACTGGGGTGCGCTTCGTGGCAGGGGCATCCATGTCACTGTCCTGTAGTCTGGGAAGACATACAGTGCTAGGGTCAGAGGGGTGCATCTTCCCTTTCAGAAGCCCTGGCATTCTGCCCCCTCCCCGCTTTCCTCACTGGAATGAAACTGCTGTGGGTCACCACCCAGGGCCTCAGGAAGCATGGAGACAAAATTCTCCCTGATGCTCTCCTGGTCGTCTCACCAATCCCCGCCCCTTGGCTTCCAGGCTCCCTGCAACACTTCCGCTGTGTGAGCACAGGTTCCTGCAAGACTTCCCATATGAGAGCACAGGCTCCTGCAAGACTTCCCATGTGAGAGCACTAGCCTCGTTCCCGACTTCCCTCCTTTGGAATGGTTTCGCACCCTCTCTATCACACACACACACCTGTGCCCTGTGTCTCAGGGAGTCAGAGAACTGGGAGACAGCAAAATGTCAGTTCTAGGCCACACTCAGGAACAGAGCGGGAAGGCTAGGATGGTGGAGGCCCACGCCTCTATGGTACTGAAGAGCCAGGAGAGCTGGTAGAAAAACAGCACGTCCCCGGACTGGGGAGGAACCTCGGTGGCTGTTGGTTGTTGGTGTTACAACTTCACCAGCCAGACTTCATCCTGCTGGCTAGCCATTGATGATGACAACAGGGACTGCCCATGGCTGGAAGCTGGCCGCTTGGACCTGGAATTATTGGAAAGGTCAATCTACAGAGAGAAGAGACACAGAGAAAGAACTTCTGTCAGCTGGTTAGAGCCTATGCAGACCCAGAACCCTTTCCCTGGTGTCCCAGGCAGTGCAGGATCCCAACGCTTTGGACCATCCTCTGCTGCTTTCCCAGGCCACAAGCAGGGCGCTGGATGGGAAGTGGAGCAGCTGAGACATAACTGGCATCCATGTGGGATCTGGGCGATGGCAAGGCGAGGATTTAGCCAGTGACCCATTGCTCAGGACCCTGTTAAAACCATTTCTGAGCAGAGTGTGTCAGAACCTAAGCCCTGGGCAGCTCAGATGCAGACAAAAGCTTAGAGATGCGTGCAGATTGAGTTCAAGGTTACAGTTTCATGAGGGTCTTGATATATGTGGTTTTCCTTTGGACTGTGCTGTGGGAGTATCTTAAGTGACCCAATAGAAAATATGCCTTCTTCATAATAACATTTTCATATTACCGACCTGATCATGCACACTCTTAGAAACAACATACTTCGCTTGCAATGCTGTGTGTGTTGTCTTCAATCCTGCAGGTAGGGAATACTGTGTGTTAATTATAACTTAGCCAAAAATCTGTCCAGAGGACTGTGGCTGGTTTTCATCTTTCACATTTTTTTTGTCCTCAAGAAAGTCAGAATTACATTTTTCCTAAGAGATGAACTTGTTGTGTATTCTTTTAGCAATAGACTCACAAAAAAACGACAAATCCTGGTGAGGACAGGGTGAAAAAAGAATTCTGATACTCTTCAAGGGAATGTAAATTGGCCACTAGGAGAACAATATGGGCATTCATCCCTAACCTGAAAAGAAATCTATCTTACAACCAACCCGGTTTTCCCATTTCTAGGTATATGTCCCTGGGAAATTAAATCAGCATATCAAAGAGATAGGCGTGTTCCTCACTTCATTGTATCATGATACTCAACAGCTAAGAAATGAAGTAAAATTAGTTGTCAATAAATGAAAGGGTGGGGCCAAGCGGCGTGGCCTATTTGCTGGGGTCCTCGCCTTGAACGCGCTGGGATCCCATATGGATGCTGGTTCTAATCCCGGTAGCTCCACTTCCCATCCCGGCTCCCTGCTTGTGGCCTGGGAAAGCAGTCCAGCACGGCCCAAAGCTTTCGGTCCCTGCACGTGTGTGGGATACCTGGAAGAAGTTCCTTTGGATCGGCATAGCATCTGCCGTTGCGCTCACTTGGGGAGTGAATCATCGGATGGAAGATCTTCCTCTCTGTCTCTCCTCCTCTCTGTAGATCTGACTTTCCAATTAAAAAAAAAAAAAAACACTGAATACTCAAACATCCACAACTTCTAAAAAAAAAATGAATGGGTGGAGAAAGAAAACTTAATATGTACACAATGGGATGTTATTCTGCCTAAACAATTAAATGCCAACGCTCACAGCAAAATGGATAGAACTGAGGACATTGGGTTATGTTGCATCAGCCAAACACAGTCAAGGAGCAGTCACTGTGCTCCTTTGCAGCATCCTTCGCTTATTCCTCTATGTTTTCATGAACTGTAACCAGTTCTTTTTCACAAGTAGAAGCTAAACAACTGTTTATATAAACATGCACTAGTGATGACCACAGCTTGGGAAGAATAGAGCTATAAGTCACACCCATTTTGACTCTCAAGAGTGCCAGGAGGTTTTGGAACCTAGCCCAGTCTGGTCATCCTGCAGACCCACCCACATGCATGCCTTGCCCAGACCCGCCCACTCATAGCCCCACCTCTCCCACTCACCAGTGAGAGCTGCATCCGAGTAAGGGAGTCTCCAGAGTCTTTTCCAAGCCTCAGGTCTTGCGCAAGCTGATGGATGCTTTGAGTCACCTGACACAGCCCGCCTACAGTTTCAGCTGCTTCTGGTGCGTGTAGTAGCGTAGACTAGCTATGCCTGGCCTGCACACTGTCCTGAATGTCGTGCCCTCAGGGGAACCTGTGGCCTAGTAGGGAAGCTCCCCCATGTTCCCCTACAGGGGCTGCTCCCTGCTCTGGAACCCAACTAATGACAACACTGGCTCAGCACGAACACTAATGGCCTGACTGAAGGAAACAGACACATTGCAACCAGAGGAAGAGACGAGGATGGTAGACTACTTCTCAGCATTGACGCCAGCCAGGATTCTTTATTCAGTCCCAGCATGTTCCAAAAAACTATGTCATTGCGGGGATTTAGAGGCTGCCGGACAAATTCTACCAGTCACTGGCTGAAGAAATGATGCCACTTCTCTAAAATTCTCAAGAAAATCGGAGATCATACTGTTCAGCACAGTTTAGACTGCCAGCATTACCTGACACCAAAACCCAGATGAAGCTCCTGACGTGGCAAGGCACATGAGTGAACCAGCTGATGGAAGTTCTCTGTCTCTTCCCTTTAATCCCAACTGATTTCAAATTAAATAAAGAAGTTTCTCTTCAAACTTGGTAGGTGTGTGTTGATTTCACTAGTAAGGTATTGAGACAATTCACTCAGAAAATATATTTTATTGTAAGAACAGTTTTGAAACAGTGGTACACGAGCATGAAAATGAATGAACCACCAACATTATTCTACAACATGTATAGGAATTAAATCATAATGCACCATGTTATAAAACTTTTCCACATTATAAAGCTTTTGTAATAAATTGTCAAATTCTATGACATAGGTTTACAAAGATTTCTTAGGATACAAAAATCAGAAACTTACAACTTGGACCACTCATCAATTAAGTTTACTACACGAAAAAGTGCCCCTCTGTAAAATATACTTCAAAGCTGAAGAGCAGAGTGCATAATGTAAGAAAACTTTGGAAAATCTTATCTGGAAACGTCACACCAAATATCCGGAATGTAAACAACTGTGCTTTGACGTTGCATGAGTTAGGAAACTTTTCAAAAACATTTCTATTTATGGTATGATTCAGTCTTCTTACTCCTATAGAGTTCTAGAGACTTTCAAGAGAAATTTACGCACTCATCAAAACTCCTATTCAAATGTTTACAGACACTTCCTTTGTAACAGGCAAACGTGGAAATCACCCAGTTGTTGAACAACTGCTAAAGGACAAAGTGAAATTCATGTGAAACAATGCCGCTCAGTGTATGCATTCAGTGATGCGTATTGCAGCTCAAATGGACCCAAAATGGGGTAGGCTAAATGAAAGAAGTCAAATCTAAAAGACCAAACACTGAGCATCCTAACGTGTAGGGTATTCCACCAACAGAAAATTACAGACAGAACATGTGTTAGTGGTTCCCAAGGATTGGGAGTGAGGAAAGAGGAATTGTAAAATGGCCAGGGAAAATGATCAAATCCCTCTATATTTTATTGTGCTCAGTGGTTACATCTGTCCTGATTGATCCAAGTGTACACTTACAGAGCAAGTGCCCATATGGAATGGCAGCCTTACAAGAAGGTGGATTAACCCACGGCACTGCAATGAGACACCCTAGTTCTTGCTGTATTTTATACTATTTCATCTTTGTGAACAAATTTTTAAAGAGTTAATTTCAAATGCAGATTTTACAGAGAGGAAGGAGACAGAAAATGTGCCCTTCCATCACCTGCTTCACTCCCCAAATGGGAGCAATGGCAAAAGCTGAGATGATCCAAAGCTGGGAACCAGGAAATTTTTCCCTGTCTCCCACATTGGCAGAGGGACCCAAGGACTAGAGCCATTCTCTGCTGCCTTTCTAGGCCATGAGCAGGAGCTGGATCAGAAGTGGAGCTGCTGAGGTAAGAACGGCAGCCATGTCACTGGCTTGTTACAAGATCGTGCTGGACACCTACAAACAGCTCTAAAAAGTGGTAGAAAATTGTGTTTAGAACTGAGTTTTTCTAAGCCCCTTTGCAGAGCACTTTAGTGTGTAGTGCTGTGCTTGTTCACTAGGTTGAAAGAGGAGGCAGGGAGGACATTGGAAAAGCTGTATAGTGAGTGTGGTGCTGTATATTTCTGCACACTCACTACCTTATGTTGTATGTATTTCTTTTTCAGGGACAGGGTCCAACAAACCACAGGAACTAAAAAGCAGCAATAGAGCTGTAAATTAGGAAAAGCAATCAGCCTGAACAGGTGGGTAAAAAGAGCAAGGCAGTGGGTACATCCAGAGGGGCAGGTTGGGATGAGCTTTCTTCCCAGGTACAACTCATACAAAAAGGAAGGAGGAGAACAGAACTTGCCGTGTTGTACAATGTTATTTGGTTTCAGTGATATCGACCATTCCAGATGTGCCACTGAAGTGAAGTTCTGGTTGTCTATGGCAGTAGAAACTGTGGATGGAAGGAAAGCCTAGAATCTTTTCAGCTTCCCAAGGAAAGAAGGGAATTCCTTAGCCAGTTCTACCCTTTTGCACAGCCTGCCTCCTCTAAACAGCCTCCAAGTCCTTTAGCACCAAAAAGCAGAGCTGGAACAGGAATAACACAGGTGTTGCTCAAACTTTCCAGCCTCAGGACTGATACGGGCTTTAAAACACAGTGGGAGAAAAGGAAGCTAAGGAACAAAATCACAAACTCCCCTACTTTCCTACTGAGGCCTGAGCTGGCCTAGACAGGGAAAACCAGAGAGATGATCTCATTCACAGGCACGTATGTTGATGTTGGGCAGACACAGCAGCTGAGAAGGCTGAACCGGAGGTCAGGAGGTTAATTTATGGTGCTAGAAAGAAGCATGGACCTGGAGTGCGGGGGAGCCAAAAGAAGGCACCAACAATAAACCAGTTGGAGTGGAGCATGCGATGAGAATCTAAACGCATGGGTCATCCTCCCCGACCCCTACAGCAACAATGACGACTGCAGAGCCCCTGCAGATGGCAGACTGATCAAGGGCAGAGCTTAGTGGAGGTGACTTTGCAGAGCACCTAATGAAAGAACAGACATCGCTGCCTAGGAAAGCAAGGCACAGCGGTGTACAGGCAGGTGAGTCTCCATGCCGTAGAAGCCTAGACGCACATGCACAAAGTCCAGACACATGCCAAAGTGCCGGGATATATGACTTGGATATAGCAATGTCTGATGTGTTAATCTCTATACACTGGTGCAAATACACCACACTAGCTGCTGTAGCAGGGATGCCGTGAAGGTGAAGTCCTCAGCTTCCATCACCAAGTGAGGAGAGGATACCACCAGTACCCACCGATGTCCTCTCACAGTCCACCTTGCCCTTATGATGGGTTCATTCATGACGAACACTTGCACTTTGACCTCCAAAATAGTAGTAGCCACACAAAAAAGTCCTAGCCCCACCCCTGCCGTACACAGCAGTGGGCTGAGGGCTGAAAAAAGCTTGTGTGGTGATCAGTAACCTCCTGTGGTCTGTCCATCGGGTGGGTTGTGGCAATTATCAGACATCATTGGGGCCTGGGGAGCTGTGCCAAGATCTGGTGTCTGGTTCCTCCCTGCAACCTCTGAGAACATTAGGCTCATTTTTCTCACAATGGCATCTGTAATGCAGCCATCACCAGCAGGATTGCTCTGGACAGGGAAGCTGAAATGTGGGAGCTGTTCCCATACCTCTCTACACTTCCTGAGAGTCTCCTGAAGCAGCTGTAGGCTATCCTGCTGGCTCCGCTCCTGGACTTCAGCCAGCAGGCAGCTCAGCTTGGTGGTCAGCTCTGACAGGCGCTCGGCTTCCACCTGTGCCTGCCCTATCTCCAATTCAGCTTGCACTTGGGATAAACAGCCAGACAGCTGCCCAAACTCTGAGGACACATGTGCCACCTGTGCATTCATCTGGCTCATACCCTCCATCAAACGACTCTCCTCCCTGGCCTTGAGGTTCTGCACAGCCTCCAGGTGCCTCCTAAGGGGTTCCAGCTGCTCCTGCAATTGGGCCTTGTATGCCTGCACCACCTGCTCCAGTGGCACCACACTGTGCTTTCTGTGGCCCCGGGATGCGCGGCACACCACACAGATGGCCTCTTCATCTACGGTGCAGAAGAGCTTCAGGGCTTCCTGGTGCTTAGGACACATGTTCTCATTTACAGGCCCCCCATGCTCAGAGGTTGGCTGCATCTGCCGAATCACCTGCACCATGTTGGCGAGCTCCACATTGGGGCGGAAGCCTGACTGACAAAATCTCTTTCGGCACTGAGGGCAGGTGAACAGCCTCCAAGGCATTGAACAGGCAGGTACTGCGGGGCCAGGGGCCAGGTGCTCTTTCTGTTCTTCTTCCTCCTCCTCCTCTTCATCCTTCTGTTCTTCTTCCTCCCACAGGATTTTCTCCTCATTCACTTCCGTGGAGCCCTCCTGTATCTCTTCCAACTCCATATTTTCCTCCTCTTTCTCTTCCTCCCACAGGTCATCTATGCTATCCCTGATGGACTCGCTGTTGTAACTGGTCTCTTCAGATACATCCTCCAAGCCACTCTCAGATAACTCTTCCCGATTCCTGGTTTCCAATCCTGTACTGGACCCCTCAGGTTGTTCTTCATCTTCATCTTCCAACAGGTAATCTAAGCTGTCCCAGCTGGACTGGCTATTGACACTGTTGTGCTCAAAGTCCTCCAAGTCACTATCAAACACTTTTCCCTCACTTCTGGTATCCCACCAAGCACTGGCCCCCACGTGATCTCCGTCATCTTTTTCAACATCCGCCAATAAATCATCTATGCTGTCCCAAGTGGATGTGCCATAGGTACTGGTACCTTTAGCATTTTCCTCCAAACCACTCTCAGATAATTTTCTCTGATTCTGGGTTTCCAACCCTGCACTGGTCCCCACAACCTCTTCCCTGTCGTCGTCTTCTTCACCCTTTTCCTCCTCCTCTTGCTTGGTTTCTAGCTCATCCTTGTTCTCATCACTCACACCCCACACCTGAGTTATACACCCTCGGCAGAAGTTGTGCCCACAGTGGATGGTCACAGGGTCCTTGAAGTAGTCGAGACAGATGCTGCACACTGCCTCCTCTGGAAGGGTCTTCTCAGGCTTATCCCTCATCACAAGGGCATCCATCTTATTGTCTAGTCAGCCTGGGAAGACATGGAGGGGTACGGTCAAAGAAGTGGCTTCTCCCTTTCAGAAGCCCTGAGGACTGGCCTCACCCAAAGTTCTGTCTCTCCACATCTCTTCCAAAGCAAAGCCCCGGAACTGTCATCCTGAAAACTTACACATTCACAGACTGCCCAACGCCATGACGACAACTGTCTCTTACCAGGGTGAAACAGCTGAGTGACACTGCCTAGTACCTCAGGTGTTGGAGTGTAAATTCATCTTAAGGCTCTTTTGGCCTCCTAAGAAATGCACACTCCTTGGTTTGCCCTTTTCACCTCCACCCACTAAATCCAGGTATTCCAGGAAGATAGTAAACTGGAGGGTAAGCACTAGCCAACACTCAGGAATAGAGTGAGAAGGCTAGGATGGTGGAGGCCCGTGCCTCTATGGTACTGAAGAGCCAGAAGAGCTGGTAAAAAAAAGAAGCACTCACCACGTCCCCGGACTGGGGAGGAACCTTGGTGGCTGTCAGCTCTTGATGTTACAACTTCACCAGCCAGACTCCATCCTGCTGGCCAGCCAGTGACGGTGACAACAAGTACGGCCCACAGCTGGAAGCTGGCTGCTTGGACCTGGAATTATTAAACCATTTATGAGCAGACTGTATCAGCACCTACTCCCTGAGCTGGCAGCTCAGAAGCTTAGAGATGCATGCAGACTCTGTCCATATCTCAGGGAAGAAACCCAGTTCTTGATATTTAGGTAGTGACTTGCTTTCCTACAACCAAGACACAACCAGCACCGTCTCTCTGGGTCTTTGCTTCTGGGCAATGGTGGCAGTAGCAAACTTGGTAGCCTCTACATTTGGGACACTCCTGCACCAGACAAAAATTCTTTGGTTCTGTCCCTTATGTTCCTGTCATTTTAGTATCACTACTTTTCTGGCTGTATAGCATAGGGTTAGCAGAAATACAGATATGGGCCCATGTGACATCACAGAAAGCCCAGAAGTATGCCCACCTATCTAAAATCAACTGATCTCTGTCTAAAATCAACTGATCTCTGAACTACTGTCCTCCAAAAATCCAAAAATGATAAATGCTTGGGGTAATGTGAAGAAAAGGGTAACCTAACACACTATTGGTGGAATGTTTAACTAGTACAGCCATTATGGAAGATAGACGATTCTTCAAAAATCTGAAAATAGATCTACCTATCATCCCATTCCTGGAAATTTACTAAAGAGAAAACAAAGTAACATACAAGAGAGTTATTTATACACCCCATGTTTAGAGCAACTCAAATCACAACACTTAAGACATGGAGTCAGGCACTGTGCTGTAGCCTTGTGGATAAAGTCCTTGCCTTGCATGAGTCAGGATCCCATATGGACGCTGGTTCATGTCCTGGCTGCTCCACTTCTCACTTAGCTTCCAGTTTGTGGCCTGGGAAAGTACTAGAGGTGAGTCCAATGGCTAGGGACCCTGCACTCACGTGGCAGACGCAGAAGGCTCCTGGTTCTGGCCTTCGGATCAGCTCAGTTTCAGCCACTGTGGGCACTTCGGGTGTGAATCTTAGGACAGAAGATCTTCCTCTCCGTCTCTCCTCCTGTCTGTATATCTGCTTTTCCAATTAAAATAAATAAATAAATCTATAAAAAAAATAAATGAAAAGCCAATCACATTCTTACAAAAACAACACATGAAATCAACCCTGATGTCCATCAATGGATAAAAATGGGTAAAGTATGGTATAGTAGTCCCCAAAAGATAAACATACAAAAATGAGCAAGAACGAAACTGACATCTTGTAACTTGAATAGTTTTTTGCTTGTCCATGTTCCTGTGGATCAATGGCGTTCCGTTTGTTAGTGAACATTATGGTGAGTGCTGCATTCAATGAATGATTATAAAGTAAACTGAAAGCATTCAATTGCAAAAATGAAAGGAAATGAAACGGAGGTGGGGATTTGAGGGAGAGGGAAGGATGCTGAACTTCTCAGAGTTGTACCTATGAAATGCAAGACAACTATTCTGGCTTTTAAAGAAAGGTTTATATGTTTATTTATTTATTTCCAAGGCAGAGTAAGAGAGAGAGAGAGATGGGAAGGGGAGGGCAGGGAGACAGAGAGGGAGAGAGGGAGGGAGAGAGAATCTTTCATCTGCTAGTTCACGCCCCAAATGGCCACAATGGCCTTCTCTTTGGGGTTGAGGTTCACAGCTTAGCTGGCCTCCCTGCGGGGCTGAGGGTTAGTGCTCTATAACAGACATGCAGTGTTCCATCCTGATTGTTTTGATAGGTTTTCCTGGCAGCCTAAAGTAAATCATCTCTATTCTCCCAGGATTCTATGCTTACTGCAAGGAACAACAAGCCATTTGCTCCAGAGCAGTGTTTGGCATCTTCTTGGGTAACATTCTCTGTGCTTCCAGATCTGTTCTATTTCCTAAGAGAATGATTACAGTGTTTAGATTGGTGAGACAGCTTCATCTGCCAACAGATGCTTAAGTGAGTTACGAGGTTCCTCTGGTACATCACACATCATTAAGTGTGCATGCAGCTCTCCTGCAGTCGCTTCTTGGAATACCCCTGAATCACTCATCACTCCTGTCCCACTGTATCCCAAATCTGCAGATTCATCTTTGGCCATTAACTTCAGTTATTCCTGTATCAAATTTAACCACAAGAGTGTGAGAACAAGCAGCCATGAATTTCACTTCCTGTATCTGATGTCCCAGTAATCAAATACTCAAAGATGTATGAGAAGGGTATAGTATGGTTGCCAAGGTATCAATGGGGAGCTGCTGCTGGCTGGCAGCTGTCTGCATGGGAGGGATCCTCGGGGATGAGGAAAGAGAGGACAGCCCCAGTGGGTGATGGAGCAGGGGCAGTAGGCCACGCTGGCAGCCAGCCCGCCTGGCCAAGGGGTGTAGATGCACCAGAGTAAGCTACTGTACCTGCTACTCCCTCAGGATCTTTCCTCTGCTGATCCAGCTGTCCTCGTACATTTGCTTTGTAGCATGGACGGCAAATGAGCATGTAAAATACTTTCACAGCATTGAACTATTCAATGCATCTCAAGAAATCAAAACACGTGCCCCATATTGATGCACGCACGCACACACACACACTTGGATAAAATTTAAAGACAAACTGGCCTAATTTCGCTGGAAGTTTGAAGTGAAAGGCAAATACTAAGCTTAAGGAAATGTGAATATGGTTGGTCTGAAAAATATTTAGAAGTTTTTTAGTAAAGCTATTGAAAAGAATCTCAGATGAATTTGAAGGTGAAAAAAACCTATGAGGAAGCACAGCAAATCTATTTATGGTGAATGATAGTCAAGATACACTTGTGGGGACAGCAAGTCACATATTACTGGGATGTACATCCTACACTAGGGGGCCTGGCTTTGAGTCCAGGCTCACTGCCAGTTCCAACTTTCTCCCCATACACTCTGAGCATGGTGGCATGTCATGGCAACAGCAATTGCGTTGCTGCCTCCAACAAAGGAGCCTGGGATTGGATCGTGGCACCCAGCTTCTGCATGACCCCCACTAGCAGTTTTAGAAATTTGGGGAGGGGAACAACATATGGGAAATACCTGTCTTTCTTTCGCTGCATTTAACTTCCTTTTGTTTATGATCCTAAAAGATTTATTTTTTTTTTAAATCAAAGGCACTGCATTTTGTGTCAATTAATAGACGTCTCAAGTTAACCTTTAACATGATAGGAACAGCAGTATGTATGGCCACTCCTTGGAAGCTTATCACCCCGAGTGGCTGCGTCTCTTTTTGTCTCTCTCACACTCTATGTAGTACACCAGTCTGCCAGCAAAAACTGTTTTAAACTGGGTTGTAAAAGATAAAATGAGGATGCACATTTGTTGTAGCAGGCACAGTATCATAAATGTCCAACTCCTGCACTCAGGGCCAAGGCTTCATCCTCCCTGTGCACATCCTTGGATATCACAGGGACACCGGTTTCATGTCCTGGCTGCTCCACTATCATTCTAGCCTGGCCAAGCAGTAGAGGATGGCCCCAAACCTTGGAATCGTGCAACCACATAGGAGATACAGAAGAAGCTACTGACCCTGACTTCAGATCCGCTCAGAAATAGCTGTTGCAGCCTTTCGGGAACTGAACCAGCAGAAGGGAGATCTTCCTGGTTCCCACTTTCTCTGTAAATGTAATCTGCCTTTCTAATACAAATCATCTTTTCTAAAAAACGTCAAACCCTAGTCAAAAAAAAAAAAAAAAACCCTGTATTTGAATCCCAGAACTTTGCAAAGTTCAACTTCCTGAGGAAGGCAGCAGTTGATGGTTCAAGCAGGTGAGACAAGGCCCCAGACCCCAAAGACCTGAATTAAACTCTTTGCACTGCCTTCAGTCTGGCCTATTCCCTACCTATTTCAAAAGTTTGGGGAGGAGAAACAGTAGATGGAGGACCTTTTCCTGCCTGTCTCTTTGCTTTTCCCTTATAGCTCATAAACCATTATTTCATTTAGGATAAGCCAGAGCTTAACTGGCTTATCCTCTGCCTGCCAGCAGCAGCATCTCATTTGGGCCACGGTTCTTGTCCTGGGTAACTTCTCTTTGTACCAGCTCCCTGCTTGTAGCCTGGGAAAGCAATGGAGGATAGCCCAAAGCCTTAAGACCCTGAAGCTGTTTGGGAAATGTAGGAGAAACTTCTGGCTTCAGACTGCCTTAGCTCTGGCCGTTGCAGCCATCGGGCCAGTGAATGAGCAGAGAGAAGATCTTTTGCTTGGTGTCTCTGCTTCTCTGTGTAATCTGTCTTTCCATAAAAACAAACAAATCATCCAGATAAACAGGTCACATGTTGCAGCTGGCCCTTACCACTGCTAAGCAGACTTCCCCCTCACCTACAAATGTTTCTCCCACAGCAACAAAACACGCTTCCCCCTTGGCAGCCCCCAACATTGTCACCGTCCCATAAACTCGGCCCCAACACGCTTCTTCCTCTGTGTCCCCCCAACACTGTCACGGTCCCATAAATTAGAACAGT